TGAGAACTTTGGAGAAAAAGAATAATAGCATTTACCACAAATGAGTCCACTAGCTGATTAATTATACTTTTGTTACTCAGTAATTATTAGGTTAATGGGATTAATCTGATTTGAATGCTGATGAATCCCATGAAAGGGAGAAGGAAAGATGCTGACTGAGGCTGGAAATGGAAGGTAAGAATTCGGAAGGGAAGTAGAGAAACAGGCATCTGATGTGGAAAAAGGGCTTCCTCTTGAAGAATCTCTTTCTTGGCATGCAAAAATCTTATCTTTTTCTGTAAACTAAGGTTTTGTTTGTACTATAGCATACTATTCTAATACATAATGGTGCAAGTGTGCAAAAGTTGAGTTTGATCCTACATTCTTTTTGCTTTGTGAACAGTAGAAGGAAGCAACAACAGATAGCCGGCCTGCTGTGCAATTGTTCAAGGAAATCAAGTTCATCATTCTAACTACCATACTCAATGGATCTTTCTCGACAGATAACAAGGAATGGATCTGTAACTTGAGATTGTAAGCTGTTAGCTATTAGTGTAATCTCAGTTCTACTGAGAAGTTGATGTACAGAAAGTTTCAAATTTGGAAGATGAATGAAATTTTCATTGATAAAAAAAATTAAGAAAATTCTATGAACAAATATGAAAGGTGCGGCTAAGAAAATGAGATTATAGCAATGCAATAACAAAAACTATTTACGTTACAAAAAACACATAGTAGTGACATTGAACATTGAGATTTTCTGGGGAAAAAGTCTCTTTTGTCTCAGCACATAAAAACAGAAAAAGAAAGAAATGTCAAAGGAAATCTAAAAATATTAGAGAAGACATAAAACCCTGAAAAGCAAAATATCAATTAGTAACAAATACAAAAACAGCAATTAATCATTAATGGTTACACTACAAGCTACAAAACAAATCAATGTTAATTAGCCAAAATTAAGAAATATCTGTGATAACAATCAATATAAACCTCGTAGTTAGAAATGTTATGAAGACTAATACAGGTTATTTCTGCTAAAAGAGCTACTAGTAACCTTGATCAATGGCTAAAAAAATCATGATAATCATCAACATGTAACATAAAAATCTAAAAAACTCTCCATGCTAAAAAAACTAGGTTAAGACAGTACTATGTGTCATTAAATTATATGGGGGGCAAAAAAGAAAAACAAATGTTAATTTAGCTCTTGATAACTATTAAAAAAAATCTTTTCCACCATACTAAAACTTCAAATTTGTACGCCTAATTAAATTAAGGATTATAGTTTTATGTTCTCACATAATTCAAAAAAATAAAAATAAAAAAGAACTACTTACCCTATCTCTCACGACAATTGTTGGGCAAGCATTAAAATTGCAAAGATCCAAGCAAACCTCCATCCCAGAATTCCCACATCCAACAACAAGCACTCTCTTCCCCCTAAACAACTCCCCACTCTTATACAGACTCGTATGCATAACACTTCCCTTGAACCTCCCAATCCCTTCAATATTAATCTCAGGCCCAACAACAGCCTCCGCGTTCTCCCCCGTCGACACAACCAGCCACCGACACGCATACTCACGCACCCTCGTCCTCACCCGCCACAATCCAACCCCGCGATCAAACTCAGCCCTCACCACTGTTTCTTTAAACAAGGGTCTTATATCGAATTTGTTCGCATAGCTTTCTAAGTAGGAAATGAATTGTTGCTTTGAGGGGTACTTTGGGAATTTTGGAGGGAAAGGCATGAGAGGGAGCTGGCAGTATTTCTTGGGGAGGTGGAGGTGGAGACGGTCGTAGGTGCTGTGGGTCCAGAGGGAAGCGATGCAGTTCGATCTCTCGAGGACTAGGCTGTCAATTCCTTTCTCTTTGAGGCATGCGGCAGTAGCTAAGCCTGAAGGTCCGGCGCCGATGATTACTGGGTATGGGATGAATATGGGATGCTGCTGATGATGATGATCGTGGAGTTGTTTGCGTTGGATTTCTCTGCAGTAGCCCATCGAAGTGCAGTATATTTTTGTTACATGGGTTAGGGTTAGGGTAATTGGCTCGATCTCTCTTGTTTGCAGGAGGAAGTAGTAAAGCAAGTGATAGAGAGAGAGAGAGAATGTGTGAGTAGTGGAGATGGCTTTATATATTTGCCCGTTGCGTTTAGTACATATGTCATTGGTAAAGTATAGTGATCGAAGCAGGCAGCTGGAAGTCTATTGCAGGGCCCCGGCCAAGCTTAAAAATACTATTATTAATACTATGGCGACTAAAAGTAATTATTTAGTTGCGCGTATTAAATAATATAGTTAGGCTATCTTGTTTTCTTTTATATATTTAGTTTCACGTTGCGTAGCATTTTATAATTAATTTATGTTTCTGCTGTTGTGTTTAAGCACTTCAATGCAATGAGTAATATGGTCTCTTTTGTTTATAAAATTAAGCTCTATTTTTATCATGGTACCAGAGTCTTGTTAATATTAACCTTAGAGAGATCCCTTATTCTTCATCGAACTCGGAGTCGTCGAGGGAGTTCTCGGAGCTCCCCCTCGGCACCCCCGATACTAGCTTCGGCGTTAGTTACGTCCAATTTATCTCAATCTCCCGGTACCCTTATCCCTAGGCGGCTGCACCTCCACCAATGCCCCTGCCCCAGATCCCATCAAACGCACAACATAGCGTGGGCTCCCCCTTGCACACAGAACCACCCACCACTCCTGCTGCCTTCATGTGCAGCACAACCAAATTAACATCCTCAAATAAGCCCATCAAGTCTTCTTCTACGTGCAAACACCCGCACACTACTGGAGATCACCCTCAATTAATCTCGTCGCTGCGGCCTCATCCCCAACGGTTTGCAGCCTCATCCCCAACGGTTTGAATTCTTGGGGAAATATCCTCAACGGTTTGAATCATTGGGGACATTGTTGGGCTAAAGCAGCTCCAACAAAAAGCCTTTTCTGATGTCTCAACGGTTGTAATCATAAAGGACATGTTTCGCCCCTAGTGTTATAACCGTTTAGTCTGCTACTGATATTGTAGCGCAAGTATAGATACATATACACCCTGAGGTCCTGTTTGGCAAATGGTTAAGTGAGGGGTTAAGGAGATTTAACCCCTTCTTAACCTGCCAAACACAACAAATCTATATAAGGGTTAAAGTGAGTTAACCCTCCATAATTTGCCAAACATAAAAAATATAGAAGAGTTAAGTTAACCCCTCTAGAGGGGTTAAAATGAGTTAACCCCTCAAAATGAGGGGTTTACTAATACTCCTATTTAGATGGAATAAGAGTTAACCCTTCTAATTATAAAGAAAATAGTCAAAATCATAGTTATTCCCAAACACTAAAACTGATCATAAGGGCTAAAATAAAACTTATTTAACGGGTTAATAATTTAGTCCTTCGGATTATCAAATGGGCTAAGTACATTAATCCTTCTCTTTAACCCCTCTTCATTAACCATTTGCCAAACTGGGCCTGAGTGAATTTGTTCTGACACTTACCATCAGGACTATATATAGGGGTCTATTCACTGTTGGGCTATAGTACATGAAGCCTATCGCAATAAACCCTTGAAACAATATATACCCCCACATGAATTTTTGGATGTTTACCAAAATCTTTATTAATTTTGGAGAAAACCTCTCTGGACTCATTCACAATCACAAGTTTCATCCAACCATCATAATCAATGCAATCATCCAGATTTTGTTGCTTGAATCTTGCCACGTCAGGTCCCTAACATACGTGGCAACCTCTTAATTTTCTCTTAGAGAACATGTATATTTTTGTGTATAGTTGTGTACGTGTGTATTTTTATGTATATATGTGATCGGTGAATTACTTGTAAGACGGTCTGTCCCATATGTGAGAATAATAAGTATACTGAAAATTAAGTGCAAATTAAATGTACATGGACAGACAACTACCTTACAAACAATTGACAACTTTAACACAAAGATACACAGGCATGCATGTAACTTATCTGATTGCATATAATGCGTGCAGAGTATCTACTATAAAGCAGAGAGAATATACCATATACCAATCAATCATAGAATCAAACTTGGGAGAGATTGGCAACCTATTGTAGGGTAGATATCTAACAAACCCTAGAGTGAGATCGATGTGGGATTACCTGAACCAATATAATACCTTAATTTTATGGCTAAGTTTTTATAGAGAACCAATCACTACTGTGAGATTCTGGCGAGAGGCCAGAGATCCAAGCAGTGCGCGCGTGCTCCTTTTGTTCAGTGAATCTTTCTTGGAATATTCAACGTACTTAAAGGTGAAAACCCTAGAGTAACGTGCAGAAAGTTGTGTTTCTCTGCGACTTGGGCCCCTTTGTTTGCCCGGAAATATTCATTGAAGTAGGTGAATATGGACTCTCTCCGCTAGTTTCAAGAAGAGAACTATGTTTGTTTTTCTAAAAAAGTTACTTTCGATATTTCCTTAAAAACGTCATCTCTTCTTTTTGAATCTTTTTTTCTCTCATCAAAGCTTCGAAATACCTCAGAAGTAAGTGTAATCGAGTCAATTAATTAAGAAATAAAATTATTTTTGTTTTGCATGGATATTCTCTATTAATTCTAAATAAAATCCTGAAAGATCTTCTTTCTCTCTTCCTAACAATATTTATAATTGCTATCAAACCAATAAAGTGAATGAAGTAAAAGAAACACTAATTCATGTACTTTCAAAATTTGGACAAAAAAATGTAGTATTAATTTCCACTACTTCCTACTTCATAATTTTAGAAGTAATAGATTTGATTTATATCTTACTTCTACTATTTACTATCAACCAACAGGTCCAGTCACAAAAACTATACTACATGAAACGCAAATGCAACAATGTTCTGAACCATATATGAGACAGTTTTAATCTCCAAACTCTTTATGTTTTTCTTTGTAGTTCAGAACACCCCTCTGGCATTCGAGATGTAATAATATAATTTCTACTCAACATTTTTGGGTTCTAAGTTAAACACCAGAAATTATGTTAGAACAACTAGAGTTTGAGTAGGGTATTTGACCTGGCCTCAAAAAAGATATTTTATCTTAATTTCAATTTCTAAGAGAAAGTGTTTAATGGATCAGATCTATGACATTATATGTTGTTCGCTGGAAAATTCGTAGGTTTCTTTGTTATTGATTCCATTGTCATCTTGAGTTACAACTTTTTGAGTTACAAAAGATCCGGTCTTTTTATAAGATCCGGTTACAACGAAAATCAAATAAAAATAAACAAAGATTACAACTTTTCTCCTTTTGTGTCGAACGAATCGCGAGCTCCTGTTTTGCGGTCGCTCGCTTGGTGGGTTCTTTGCCTGCGCCGGGGTTGTTTGCCGTGGACCACCGCGAGATCTAGATCCGGTCGGATCTACGCAGTACGACGGGTATTATTTCACCAAGGAAATAATAGCCGGGGAGGATTGTTTCACCAAGGAAACAATCGTCCAAGTCTCGGGATCTAAGACCAAGCTTAGATCCGGAGTATGCCTGCGTAGATCTGAGATCTGATCCTCTCGAACACCTGTCTTATTTGACGTTGATGATCGCCGAGCACCAGATCTGAAAGAGTGAGTCCCCGAAGTCCCAAAGTTCCAATCTTTTTTTAAGTTCCGAGTCTCCAATCCAGCAGGGCTTCGCCTCTCCAAATTTACCCCCCTTTTGAAATGAAGAACCCCTTGGCGGCCGAGCCACCTAGAGGTGGCTCGGCCTCCGAGCCACCATTTGGTGGCTCGGAGGTGGCCGAGCCACCCCAAGGTGGCTCGGCCACCGAGCCACTTAGGTGGCTCGGCCGAGCCACCACTTGGTGGCTCGGCCACCGAGCCACCTTGGTGGCTCGGTGAGCCGCCTCGGTGACTTGGTTTCCGAGCCCCTCCGGGTGTTTGGTTTTCTGCTGTTTTCCACCTTTGGGTTCTGTCCGTGATTCGGTTGATCCAGACTCTGATTTGATTCCTGATTTGGCAGTAAGTCGGGTTCCTGATTTGGCAGTAAATCCGCTTCTGAGTTCGAGTCTGAAACTGATCTTGATTCGATCGTGATTCGTCCGAGTCTGTTCTCGGTTGGATGACTCGTTAACTCTTCGAACCTTTGGCTTGATTCCACACGTGTATGGATGCATTCCGTCGCTTGATGCGATTAGTCAATCTCGTCGCCTCGTTGGTTTGTCGGTTTGTGTCGAGCTGGATAAAAGGGACCTATATTGCGTGCGATTAGTCAATCTCGTCGCCTCGTTGGTTTGTCGGTTCGTGCCGAGCTGAGCTAAGGGACCTATAAGCAATTTTATATGCCTACAGATACCCCCTCCAAAGTATTTCAGTCTCGTTCTTTTATAGAAGAGTCTGGAATACTTTGGATATGCATGTCCCAACCTTCAGTCGGTGTAATGGGACCTTGGAATGACTTGTGTTCTTGATTCCTTCAATCCTTCAGGCTATTCGGTGCTTTGTCGAATGTCTGTAAGGGTTCCGGTGCTGCATTTATTGTCTGACCGTTTGTCGGAAATTTTGAACCTTGAAGTCGATTCCTGATTTTTGATCTTCAGCTCGTAGAATTGACCATCGATTGCTGGCGTCGAGTTTTTATGTGCAACGCGTTGTCCGGCGTTGTGTTGTTGAGTTATCCTTAAGAATATTTTTTAGAAAAATACTCTCCAGAAACTTCTCAACCAAAATTAGGGAACAGTTTATACTCATATACCTTATTGGAGTAAGAAGCAGTTTATACTCGTATGCTTTTCGGAGTATTTAAGAAGCAGTTTATACTCGTATACTTTTTGGAGTATTTAAGAAGCAGTTTATACTCGTATACTCTTTGGAGTTTTGAGAAGCAGTTTATACTCGTATACTCTTCTGAGTGTTGAGAAGCAGTTTATACTCGTATACTTTTTGGAGTATTTAAGAAGCAGTTTATACTCGTATACTTTTTGGAGTATTGATTCTTTCATTGCAACGCATTGATCGGCGTTGACCTAGGGTTACGCGTTGTCCGGCGTTGACCCTGGGGTTTTGACCGTCGTACGTTGACCTTTTGATCGCAACGCGTTGACTGGCGTTGACCTAAGGTTACGCGTTG